TTTTAATTGTTTTTATGTGAAAAGTTTTAATTTCATTCTTTCTCTCTTAACAAACTACAATATCGCGATTCAGTATTCGGAGCGATTCATTAATATGTACATATATTTCATATGACAACTAAATTTAAAAAAATTTAAGCATTTTGTAAAATTTTCTCTCAGAAAAGTTTTAGCATGCGACATATTTTATAAATTTTTCATATATATGTATTTATGTATTTAATTCGCTCAAAAGTTTATAGTAAACAGCTTCAAAGTTCTCGTACAAAAGATTATATTTTAATATTTTATAAAATTAACTTTCTCTACATATATTATTTCTCTTTGTTTATTATTTCACACACACTGTCTTTTTTGTTTAATACATCGCATCATTTAATATACATTTTACCACGTGCTCATTCAATTATAACGCAATAATATATAATCTTAAAATCTTTCAAAATACGGTAAATTAAATTTACAATTTGAAATATAATGAAACGTTTAATGCATTGATTGCCTCCTGATTGTCATTCATATTAAAATATGAATGGTTTCTCTCGTTTTCAAAAGTCATTTTAAATATAAATGACATCAAATTTTCACCAAAGCTTCGTCTTTAAGTGACGTTTTATAATAAAAATGTTAAATTATAAAAAATATTTATGGAATAAAAGTATTAAATTAAAGGTGTTGTGTGTTTAAAATTAAAGGTGTCAAATTAAGTAGAAATATGTTAAAAGAATATTAAATTATGAAAAAATATTTAGCTCTCTTTTTGGAAGTTTTTAATGAAATTTAGTATATCATATAAGATTAATGTAGCAACATATTAATTAAAACAAGAGATATTTTATTTATGCGAAAGATCAGGTGGAGGCGCCGGTGCATGAATGGCAGCCAACAGCCTCGCGTTCACAAAAATTATGTACTGGATATGTCTTGATGGCCATACCCCGCCATGCCGACATTAAATCGACATGACGCGCTATCAAAGTAGCGAGCACCCTTTTTATAAAGACCACTCAACGCCGACGTCTTATAAATCCTACACATCGAAAACTAGATACGAGATAAGTATAGCAGGTCTGGCCATCTATTGCGTACTCGAGGAACTAACTATCAGATATGCGAGTGACTAATGACGAGTTTCCCCTTTCACAAATCCACGATGTTTATCGATTTATTTCGCATCATTCGCGATCATTATTAACAACATTATTAGTTAGAATTACAAGAGCGATCAAATTAATTATGTTTAATATAATGTGTAATTTAATATAAATATATATCATGATAAATATGTATTAAATAGTTTTTAATATATTTCTAATTTAATGCTATTATAGTTGCCATTATATAGTTAACTTTTTAAATTTACTTAGACTTTTACTTTTTTTGTTATTCGTACGCATATCGCAAATTTTATACGTTTTGTACATTTTACATTTCATTGAACACGAAAGAGGAAAAAGCATTCATTCCTTTTGTTCAACTTGTATGTTATATGAATAAAATTATATTGTAGTTCAATATAGCTGCTGCTAACAAGGCGTGAGCTTTAATTAATCGAACTATGTCCCGTAGTAACGATGTTAAATGCTTTAAATATTTTCAACAATATTCCAACAATAATAGCCAATCAGATGTTAAATCATGCATAGGATTCTCTGCCTAGAATTCCGTCGTGGATTTCGTCCGTACATATATTTCGACTAAACAAAGTTAATTATGCACTCAAATTAACATTAACTGAAAAGCGCAACCACGGCGAAGTAGCGTAGTGGTAATCAAGTTAAATGTTTCTCGGGCAAGAGGGATTTTTATTACACAAACTGATTCATTAGTGTTGCGTGCTGGTAGGAAATAAAGTGCGTCCCGTAAATCTACATATACATAGATATCAAGATTATATATAATTTTGCATTGTCTTTATATCTTCATCTAATCTCGCAGGGGACACGCGTAGAATATCAGTAGAACGTCGATTATTCAAACAGCTAATTACAGAATGTAATAAATAATTTTATTTCAAACAGTTCTGAACATTCTGAGGTTAATTTATGATACTTATATTTTCTTATAAAAAAAAATAAAATATTAAGACAAGCTCGTATTATGCTGCAGCATATAATGAAATAAAGAGAGGCCAAAGAACGAGCACAAAAGATGATTATTTAAAAAAGAAAATATAATATGTTCAAAAATTGGTTACATACCAATTTTCGGTAAAATCAATTTTTTTAAATATATTTGTCTCTTTTTAAATCCTCATCTTTTGTGCTTGTTCTTTGGCCTTTCTTTATTTCATTATACTTTCTTTATATATCTTACGTCTAACTAATACATTATCTTTTTCTTAAATTATTGGAATAGTATATTGCTGCGTTACGGAGGTGTCTTTTCGTGAGCAAAATTACTTTTTATTGTACGAGATTGTGCGGTCGAATTTAGTCCATTTAGATACGTAACGATTCGAATTATACATGCACCAAGCGTAATTCGGCCTCCATCAATTTGTTCTTTAGCTGAAATGCTAATGAGGTACCAGTGTACAATCGAAACAAATACTAAAATATATTCTAATGTAAAAAAAGCGAACTTTGAGAAGTGTGACTCGATCTTAGAATGCATAATGTATGACGTTACAACGGCATATTTTTCTAAATTTTGAAGGGAAGATTTTTTTAAAACATAAAAGTGTATCAAAGGATGGGATAATAGATGGTATTACTCGGTAAATCGGACTTGATGAAGATTGACCGCTCTGGTGAAAATTTGCCTCAGAATCTTTCATGTAATTTTTCAAAATTTTTATGTAAATTTTTATATAAATTTTATGTAAAATTTTTATGTAAATTTTAGAATTTTTTTTAGATCTTCGGTATAATTTTATAATATTTAAAAAAAATTTTCAGATTTTTTTGTACGAATTGAAATATTTTTAAGAAACGTCAAGAAAATTTATATCTCTTCTAGAATTTTTCATATGTGAATTCTGAAATATTCTAATATTTCTAAGATTTCTCATTTCATAATTTCTGATGACATTTTATAAAATGTAAAAAGATTTAAGGTATTTTTTCAGAATAAGAAATCTTAGAAATCTTAGACATCTTAAAAGATTTCAGAATTTCCATGTATGAAATATTCAAAGGAAAGATGTAGATTTTTTTTCAGTATTTCTGAAAAGTATTCCAATTCGTATAAAATTTCTGAGAAAAATTTTTGCCAGGAGATGTCTAATAATCTTTCTTTTTGAATTTATATCTATAAATTCAGAATTCAATTGCGAATTGCTATTTTCAACGGATTTACAGCGCAGCAGCTCAAAGCAGCTAACAAAAATGTATCTTTCGTCGGATTTCTTGGTTTGAAGTAGCATTACTTGATGGAATTCGACGTGCATGAATATCAAATATGATATGCATTTTAGGATTTCCAATTCTTACTTTTCGGCATCGTATAGCGATCGATGAAACAGAAGCATGTAAAATGGGAGACGAAAGCCAAGAAGAGAGAGAGAGTCTCGCGAAAAACATATCCCGCTCGATTTCTGTATCATGATGATTGCGAATTCCGAGAAGATCGTGAAAACGTTTGGGAATATCGGGACATTTCTTAAAGGAGAGAACGCTCGCAGAGAATACGTCTTTCTATCTCCAGAGGGATGTCGACTGATGGTTTTTGTTAGTTTCATCACGCGCACCACCAATCAACGTATCCGTCGTAGAGTCTCTGCTTCCGACATGTATATTTGAAGGATATATTAAATCGAATAACTTAGGGACTAAGATTACATCGTAAGTTCTTGAACTCACATTCAAAAGCCAGAGATTCGCAAAGTTTTTCAGTTGAATTCTTATCGCTTTTACTTTGGAAAAGCTCCCGCATGCATATTCTGGAGATGTCTTTTATCACCGCCTTTAAAAATCTTTGAATAAGATTTTGCAAAATGCAAACGCAATATATTTTGATATTGGAGTGATCCTTTCAAGAGCGATCCTTTCAAGATGGATATTTATGATATACATTATTATTATTAGAATACATTGTGATATACATCAGTTATTCTAAGTTCTCAAAATATATCAGGAAATGAAAAATTTGTTTCAATACATTTCAAAAAAGTAATGCCATAATAAAAAAAGTGAAAGGAGAAAAATAATAGATAACAAATTAATAATTAAATAATATAATATACATAATATTTAAATATTTAGGCTAGATACAGATCTGAAAGTAATTTTGTTGGACTAAAATATATATGCGATTGCTAAAATATGAAAATATTTTTGCAATATCATAACGTTTAAACATTTTACATAATTATTTCGAGGGCCCAACAAAATTATTTTCAAGTCTATAGTCCTAATCAAATTTTTAAATACTTCAACAGAGCTATTCTTCCGATGTAATTTTAATTTTTGTTTTATTTTAGAATAGATTTACGTATAGCGTTATTTTGAAAATTTCGCGATTGTTGAATTGCATAAGTTTTCGATTTTGATATTTTCTTAAACAAGAATGAGATACTTAGGTAATTTCATTTACCCAAACAGTTCTGTGGTGTGATAATCCAAAGTCCAAGAATTATCGGACTACGTACTAATAGGTCGTACAAGAATCTATTGCCAAAAAGGGGATAATCTCGACTTATCAACCGCAGACAAAGGGCAATTTGCACACCGAGCACCTCTCCAATTTTCCTCGAAAATGGGTATCAGGTACACCGGGACTTAACGATATTCGGTCAAATTACGGAATTTAAGACCATGAGAATTACTTCCAGTAATGGGACTTTCGTATATGATTTATCAAGCTTTATAAATCGTAAAATAAGAATATCGAATCTAATCTATCTACTTATGTGTAATACATGTAAAATCACCAATCACATTTTTAAATTCCCCTCACTCTTGATTGTTCTCCGGCTCGAGATCAATTCGGGATTACGGGAAGCGTTTCGGTAAATCCATGAGACGGAAGAAAAAAAAGAAAAAAAAAAACGACTTAACCTGGAGATACGGCACGGCCTTGCAGAGCTTCAGTCCGAGGAACCAGGTCTCCGTGACGTCCCAGAGGACCGACGGCGGCAGGCAGATCAGCAGGACGAGGAGATCGGCCACCGCCAGATTGACGATGAAGTAATTGGTGACGGTGCGCATCGAGTGATTGCGATAGACGGCCATGCAGACGAGCGCGTTGCCGATCAGGCCGACGACGAAGACGACGCTGTGCATGGCGATCAGCACCCAGTCGGAGAACTCGGGGAATATGTGCTGCACCATCAGCCCGATGTAGTCCTCGTCCGGGATGCAGTAGTCGTTCGTGCAATTCGTGACGTTCGTGTACTCGAAGTCGCCGTCGTTGTCCGCGAGCGAGTAGTAATCGGCCGCGTCGTCGAGCGCGACGCAGGAACGCGGCGTCGCCGTGGCCAGCCAGGTGACGATCATCGTTACGGCGAGACTCATGTTTGTCGGCACTACCCCCCTGGTCCTGGTCATAGCATCCCCTCTCCCTCCTCCGAGCGCACCCCCGCGAATCGCGCATCCACGCCGTGGATAAACAATTTTAATTTAACGCGATCCGCGTTTCGGATCCGCGTAGGCGGATCCCGGATCGGAATTCGGACGGATAAATTACTCGGCGCGAGTCGGCATTAATGCAAATGCATTCACGACAAGTGTCTTTTTCCGCGGACGAAGCTGCGTCGTAACGGACGGAATAAAGTCTCTTCGTCCCTTCGTCGAGCAAATCACGATCGGCGCAAATCCGAGCGCGGATGAAGTACCGTCCTCGAAACGCTCGGTGTTTTCACAATAATTCGGTACGCTCTTAAAGTTCGCAGCTCTCGTTTTCTTCCTCCGTCACAGGCCATGATTGGTGTGATCCGTGTGATCCTAATGTAGAGTTTCTTTGAAGCGGAAATCGTGCATTATAGTCGATTTCTGTCTGCGCACTGTCTGCAGAACGCGCTCGTCGAAATTGAATCGTTCGTCTTCTCATACACATGTAATATTTCTCACCCTAAACGCCCCTAATTCCGTCACTTCAATATCCGGCTCCGGGCTTCTGTTTCTAATAACATTGTAATGCATCTTGGTGGAGCCGAATGCTCATAGATATTCAGGTCTCAAGATCCAGATAATTCCAAATTGTATCTGCTAAACCGCACTTTCCTCATTTAATCTTGTCAGACGTAATGTTCAAATATAGATATAACGACGTTCGTTAACCAGGTATGATATATTTAACTCCAAATGTGGCTCGTTCAAACCACTCTCATTTGGATTACACGGAAAGAACGATTTTGCTGAAATATCTAAAAGTTTGACCAGATACAAGTTTAAAGATAATTTTGTTGAGCCATCAAAATTTGTTATGTTAGGATGCTTAAATATAATGATAATAATACTGCAAAAAACTTTGATATTTTGGCAAGCAATTTAAACATCCTACATGAATATTTTGATGATCTAACAAAATTTTCAGATCTACATCTGGCCAAATTTTTAAACAGCAAAAGTGTTCTTTCCGTTATACGTTTACGTTGTCAACAGTGCTTCGTGAAAGCATCTCTAGGATTTTTTGATCGAGGCAAAAATCGGCAAAAATTATAACTTACACATCATCAGATCGATCTATACGTACTTATAAATATGCGATCAGAAAAATAATTGAATCAATACACAAAAAATTAAATCTTAAATCGAGACAGATATTCTCAGATAAGCAAGAATATATATATATATATATATATAAAATGAAGCGATAAAAAGAGCATCGCTAGATATACGTGCTAAGAATATATCTTATAAAAAAACGAGCAATGTATGGTGTAAAAAATATATTAAAAAAAAAACAGATCTTTCGACCTGCATCAGATCAGTTCTCAGTGTAATAAACAAGGGGCGGTGAATTGAACTGTCGGAACGAATAAAAACAATCAGAATTTACAGCCACGGCATAAATTTATACAAATAAATCAGTGCTCGTTCACACAATATGCCGGGATAAGCCGACGCATATTGTTCTACGTTCGATTTTACGGAATAGTTATTGAAAATATCCAAGAAAAATATTCCCCACTATCCGAATGTCGACATCCGATATTTTTAGATTAAGTAAGTTAAATTTTCAATTTTTTAATCTTTGCCAACTTTGTATGTGCATCTCCGGCGAGAAAATAAAGTTTTAGATAAAAGCCGTTTTTTCTTTTTTTGTGATAAGAACAATAATTAAAAAGTGGATGGACGTCGGTTAAGGCGTATCTCGTAGTTAATTTATTTACGTTGCTTATTTCACACGTTGATTAATGTGAAACCGATGAATCTGAACGATAATTATGTGCATTTTATACTTTTACTTTGTTCGGAAAATTCAATAAAGCCTATTTGCATGCAGCTAGATGCAGCTAGAAATTTAATAATCGGCGGTAAAATAGGCCGCTGTCACTTATACGTGACGTTATTGAATTATAATATTAAAGTGGTAAGACGAAGTATACGGAGACGATTCCTGATAATTTTTTTTTATCAACGATGTCGCTCTAATTTAATAAAACAGATTCCACATATAGCACCTGCTACGTGTCATGCAGAAATGTGAGATAATTCGGGATAATGATAGGGATTTGTAATAAAAATTGATTATAAATGTCAAGTAATATCGAGTAAAAAAAGTAATGCAGCTATATGCTTCTAATAATCCTAATAATAATAATAACTTAATAAGTTCTTTCTTTGGATCATTAATAATTTTTTATGCTAATTATCTAACATAAAAGTAACAAAACAGATAACAAAAACATAAAATAAAGATAAAAAGAGTGAAAAATTAATTGAACTTTTTACACGTCTTTAAAGATAAATTATTAGCGTAATTTTCTGACCAGTTATTTCTGTATTTTTCAGACTATATAATATCGTTCCTCAAATATGTAATTAATTAAAGCAACTTAAATGCACAACTACTGTATTATTGATATATTGACATAATAATATTGACATAATTTTGCTACCAGACTATTGTTGATCGCTCAATAGTTTACTATAGTATAATAATTCTAATGAAAATAACATTCGCGTAATGGGAAGATATTAAGTAAATTTCATTTTTTATTTTGTGAATACTTTGTAAATAAGTATTCTACGAGTGCTAACCAAAACCGATCTAAATAGCAAAAGATTCTATCTCTCAGTTTAACGTTTCAAATTAAAATACTTTCGTCTTGCAGTTTGCCTTAACGCAATAAATCTCATTCTCGAAGTTGCAACCGTTGATGAAAAGAACAACAATGCAATTATTATCTGTATCGAAAAATTCCCTTCGTTGCTTTCCGTCCAATATAAGAACCGCTAGCCAATAAAAAAGTGTTAATGTTCTATTAGAGTTCTCTCTCTCTCTCTCTCT